ATATATATATATATATATATATATTACAGTTTTAGTCCCTATTTTTAATGTAATGAAAATACATACTGTTGTAATGAGATAGTTTGTGAACTTCCTTAGTAAGCAGCCACTATCATTTTAAGAAGTGAGCTCACAGAAATAAACAGTTACGAAGAAAAATTTATATAACTTTACTCCCTTAGAAATTTGGATTTGTTTTAATGTTTGTCATTGTTACTGTCTCTTATATACATATTAAACAAAAACTACATACTTCAATGTCTTAAATTATTGTGTTCTGTCAAAAATACTTACTAATGTACTTTTTTTTTCGATGATAATTAATGTTATAACTGTTTTATGGTACATTTTAAACTTTTTTTTCATGGTTTTCCCCACCATGCATGTGTGTCACAAAGTTATAGAAAAAACCCATGCTGTTTTTTAAGTGACCTCATTTCCTGTTCATTTTCAAAGAAAGAAGATCTGTTTTCCAAAGGTGATCAAATTGTTAGGTTGCATTAACTGTAAAGTATCTACTTGTAAAAGCTGTTAGTTATATATATAGTTATATTTTACTTGTAATCCTGATTCTCCCAATGATAGACCTAAGTATAAAATAGTTAATATAAAAATCATGAAATTTTAGATTTTTAGAATTAAAATGATTTTCAAACTGGTACATATATTTGAAGCCACCCATGGCTCAGTAGTAAGTCAGATACCTTATAACAGTACAGGTAGCCCATTGTGTAGTTTTGTGCTTAACAATAAACAAACTTACATCTTAAATCCTGAAAAGCTATCCTTGTTGTGAACAAAACATGACTATATATATATATATATATATATTGTAGAGCATGTATCACTTATCCATAATTTTTCACGTGAATTGTGTAGGTAACAAGGGATCTTACATAAGCTGTGCTTTCCCACCATAATTTAGATGTTCCTGAAATCTGCTGTTGCAATGATAATTTCAGAATAAGTACCTGTGTGCTATTGTTAGATAAACCGATTTCTTGGCAAGTATCAGATAGGTCCACATAATAATGGGAAGATTGACCAGGAAATTTACAAAATCATCTGAGTTTTAAGTTGTGTGAGAAGTAAACATATTGGATACATTTGATGGAAAGTGAAAACAGTATTGATTACAAAGCAAGCAAACTGTGTGCATTCTTGTGTAGACACTTAGGCAGTCACTTTTATTGGATCAACTTTCTGCCTTTCAAGATGAATCCCTACAGAACTAAACATGATAAAAACCAAATAGAAATGAGAAAGAATATAGGTCCCGATCTATGGTTTTTGCGATAGTGTTACCAAGTGACTGGTCATTTTTTTATAGCATTAATCGGCTGTAACATACAGATATCATCCACCCAGCCACTGAAAAGATGTTGCAACATTTTTTCAGGTAAAGTTGGTGTTATCTGCTGCAAGATAAAAAAAACACAGGCAGCTAAAACAAAGTATTTTCAATAGTTTTATGGAACATGTGTTCATGCCAAACTGCATAGTAACAAACTAAACGAAAAATTTAAAAATTTCTACATTACAAAAGATGATGAAAAGACATGATACGCAAACATATCACACTTTTTCCCCTCCTCTCTGTTTTAGGCTTGACCTCAAACTGACAATTAATATTAAACTTAAATCCAATATACTATAAACTAGCAACATGGCAAAGAAGCATGTTAACTTTCCTTTGTTCCTTAGAATGATTAAATGCCACATGGACAACACAAACCTTCAGCAAAGAACTACAACTGAATTACACAAACAGAATTTTGTTTACTATAACATATAGTTTAACACCTTGTGAATTAATCCAAATATAATCAATTCGTCAAGATTGAAAATAACATGGTAATATTGATAAAAGAAAAACTGTCGAACAATAATTTTTTAATCAATATGATACATAATAAAAGAAACACTCTGTGACTCTGTCTAAAATATAACATAATACCATACAAAAACACTAATACAAAATTATCCTTTAACAAAGAAATACATTGTAATATCCTTCAAAACCCCAGGTAAAACTATTTCTCTCAGCCCCAGTGTGAGTCTTTTTGTTACTTTTATATCTTCTATGAAAATTCACTACATGTCGAATATTTTAATGTCAAAATTGAAACATTCTCTTAATAGTATTGACAAAAATAAAAGGTGCACTGCATTTTCCCAATAATACTTTCCTGGTCAATTATCATAGTTAACCTTATATTCATCAATTCTTAATGTCAAGATCAAATCCTTTGTCTTCATCTTCTAGCTGTTTATTGGCTATTTGTATAATTGATTCACTTGTGTCATAAAACACTTATTGATGACTTTATGTAATATTCATAAACACACGAGACCACACGTATACTTATTTATATACATATATATATTATTATATATCTAAACTGCTCTCATACTTGTGAAGTATTCTGGTAATATATAGTAAATTGTCTGTGGCTACCACATGAATTACTGCAGTAACACTTGGGTTACCCTCTGAAGCTACACTTGGTACTGATAGTAGTGTCATCTAGTGACTGTAAAACTCTACTTATTTACATTTCAGGCTTCACAATATTTGGATAAATTAATACTTCTTAACCAAAGGTTTAATTAGCCAGGAATAAAACTTGTGCTTTGACTACTGTACTTCAATATACATTCAGAGGAAACACAATTTCCTTGTAGCTTGTAAATCTGATGTACTTCCCAGCAGACATTATGGGGCATCATCTTGTGGTGAAGAACTATGTATCAACAAGGAGTAGTATTTCCTGTCTGAACATGATCATATTTGGCAAACAGACTGTAGATCCTTGTTCTGTTGCTCTATATGATGTCATCATAGATGGCAAGTGCTCATCCTAGTTAGTTCTGTCAGGATTAACATATTTTGCAAACATCTCTTTGGGAGCCTGTATTACCCATTATACTAAACCATCAGACTGGGGTGATAAGGTGAGTGTGCTAACAGTTGGCTGTTGAAATTAGCTCCGTGATCTATGAGATTTTTTCGTGGTACTTTGAACTGAAATTAGCTGCTTGATCCAAGTGGATATCTTCTGGTACTTTAAACCATTCTATCCAGTTCTCTGTCAATACATTAGCTATGAATTGTGCTAATGTATTGATAAATGGCTAAGCCTCTGCCCATTTTGTGAAGAAGTCAATAACAGTGAGTATTTATTGATGATCTCTCACAGTCTCCAAGAGTGGACCACTGATATCTAGGCCTATGATATGCAGAGGAGACCCAATAATTCTTATTTGGAGTTTGCCTTACCTTGTTTGGTTCTTTCTCTGTGCAACACATACTATACAGTATTCACACCAGTGCTGAAAATCTCGATTTGAATATGGCCAGAAGAACCACTGTCAAAGGTTGGCATCCTCCAACCTTTGTATTGTGCAAAATCTGGAGTATCTTTTGCCATAGATCTCTAAGAGCCACATGCTGCAGCACAGTCTAAGAATCATGTCTTGATGGTTTAAAGCAATGATACATCACACCTTCCTGCACTTACAATTGACTGTAGATGTGTCACAGATTTCATGCATCTGTGCTATGCTCCTCTACTATTATAGATTGAGCTTCACCCTGCTGCACAGCAAGGAGCTCCCATGCTAGGTGGGAGCTCCTGGAGTTTTATTTTTGTCATTCATCAGCCAGTGGAATCTCGTATGTTATTGGCTTGTCTTTGCTATGGTGGAAGTGGCTATGGTTTCAACTCCCACACAGTATTTAGGATCTGGACATTCCCCGAATGGACAAGGTCTCAATGTACAGTGAGATAATCCATTTCAACTTTTTTATTGCTGAACCAGGCTATGCACTGTGGCAAAGTCATATTTTTGCAGTAGTGTGATCCAGTCTGCTGTTGTCCCTACCAGATTTTTAAAGTTCATTAGTCACTTCAGCAAAGTGTAGTCCACTCAAACAGTGAACTTCCTACCATACAAGTTAAGGCAATAGAGTTTTATGAAAAACAAAACTGCAGACCATACTTTCTTCATTGTACAGTTTCTGCATTTAGGAGTCATGAGCATACAACTAACATATGTGATTAAACATTTTCTTTCTCCCACAACTGTGACAACACTGATATGATTTCATTGTTGCTGTTCTATCCTA